GCACCAGTCCCAAGACAGAGTAACAGTAATAATGCTAATGACAGAGAGTACAAGAAAAGAAATAATTCACACAAAACCACTCCTTCCTGGTCCCCCTTCCCTTCTTTCCTCTGCCCCCATGGGGTGGTATAGAATAACCTCTGGGCCCTAGCAATTCCTCCTCCTGGCTACTGCAAAAATTGACCCCGTCCTGGCCAGAACCAGCACACCATCACAGAAGGCCACTAGATTGGTCAGGCATGATTTGCCCCGTAGCAAAACCATGCTGACTGTCTTGGATCACCTCCTTGCCATGACATTTCTTCAATGAGGATCTGCTCCATGATATTCTGGGGCACAGAAATGAGGCTCACAGGCCTGTATTTTTCTGTCTCTAGTTTCTCCTCATTTTAAAAATAGGTGTAATGTTTCCCTTTTCCCAGTCACTAGGAACTTTGTCTGACTGCTGTGAATTTTCAAATATGACAGAGGGTGGTTTGGCAAAAGTACCAGCCAGTTCCTTCAGGACCTTGGGTTGCATCTCATCAGGCCCTATATTCTTGTACCTATTCAGTTTCATCAAGTGTTTGGATCAACAGGAAGCCGAACATGAGCCAGCAGTGTGCCCAGGTGACCAAGAAGACCAATGGCATCCTGGCCTGGATCAGGAATGGTATGGCCAGCAGGAGCAGGGAAGTGATTCTTCCCCTGTACTCAGCGCTGGTGAGGCCACACCTGGAGTGCTGTGTCCAGTTCTGGGCCCCTCAGTTCAGGAAGGATATTGAGGTCCTGGAGCAGGTCCTGAGAAAAGCAACGAGTTTGGTGAAGGGACTTGAGCACAAGTCCTATGAGGAGAGACTGAGGGAGCTGGGGTTGTTTAGCCTGGAGAAGAGGAGGCTCAGAGGAGACCTCATCACTCTCTCCAACTACCTGACAAGAGGTTGTTGGTCTCTTTTCCCAGAGAACTATCAGTAAGACAAGAGGGCGCGGTTTCAAGCTCTGCCAGGGGAGGTTTAGCTTAGGTGTTAGGAAGAAATTCTTTACAAAGAGAGTAATCAGGCACTGGAATGGGTTGCCCAGGGAGGTGGTGGATTCTCTGTCCCTGGAGGTATTTAAGAAGAAACTGGATGTGGCACTTAGTGCCATAGTCTAGTAACTGTGGTGGTAGTGGATCAAGAGTTGGACTTGATGGTCTCAGAGGTCCTTTCCAACCCATCTGATTTTATGATTCTAAGTGGACACAAACCTGCACTTCACGTACAGTAGGAGGAGCTTCGCTCCCCCAGCCTCATCTAGAGGTTATGGGGTAGATATTTGTTTTTATTGTGGCTCATTTGGATCAAATCTCAGACAAGTTGAAGTCTCTTACATTCTTACAACTTTAAAAATAACTGTTGAATTTGAAATAGCTGAATTAATAACTTCATAGTCAAGCAAAACATTGTCAAAATAAAATCATAGGTATCCAAGGTGCATCAGTTTCTCACAGCTTGGGAGAGTAGTCTCAGTAGTTCATAAAACCAGAATATGAATTAGACCAGAATATCTATACTTTTTAGCCTTGATTTAGAAAGCAGTTGAACTTAACTTGTTTAGACTTTTTAAAAATTAGGACATTTTCTTCATGTGTCAATGGCTATGTTCAAATTATGGGAATTATGCAACATTTCAAGTTCCTGGATTTGAGTTCATGCTTCAGATGCAGACTTTATTTTATTTTCCTAGTGTGGCTCCATAGTTTTTTCTAGTCTGTGTCAATCATCAGCATCCTGCCTTTGCAACTGGATTTGTTATTTGCAAATTCTCTGTCCAGCCTAAATGAACCATATCAACCTCTCTGGTAAAAACAAGGGAATATCAGAAGAAAAACAGAAGAAATGTCTTCTTTATCTGCAGTGCTGTACATGTGAATTCCTGAGCGACAGCATAGAAGCATAGAAGACAGCATAGAAGACAAACCCGGTATTTCAGCATATTTTTCTAACATCTGCTGCGAGTAGATTGTTCACTACCTTAGTTTAGTGCATAAAATGAATCCCAAAATAAATGTTTCTAGACCCAGAAAGTACCACCTTTATTAAACAAGAAAACTTTCACAAGTATTATTTTCAGGTTTTTGCTCATAAAGTATCTTTTTGAATGACTGTAAATGTAATATTGATGAGACTGTATCTGCAATAACATGTCTAGTTGTGGGCTCACCTGTACAAGAAGGATGTGGACAAAGAGGAGCAAATAGAGTAAAAGGATATGAAAGTGATGGAGGAACTGGAGTATCTCTCATGAGGGGGCTGACAGCTGCAACTGTTCAGCCTAGAGAACAGTAGACTGAGAAGAATCTTATCCAAGTGTGTGAATATGGGATGGGGGAAGTAAGAAGAATGAAACCACACACTTCTGGGTGATGCAGAGTGACAGGATGAAAGACAACAAGTGCCAACTGAAATACAGGAAATTCTTCAACACAGAATTTTTCTTCATTTAAGAAAAGACATTTTTACAATGAGGGTTGATGAATGCCAGACTAATTGCCCAGGGAGGCCTTGAAGTGTTCATTGTTAAAGATAGCTAGTCATGGTTGAAGGTGGGCTCTGAGCTGTGTAACAGTGAGAATGTGAAACTGGGCACTTAATAGGATTTTCAGTACAGATGGGCATGATTTTGTCCATTTCTGTGAAGAAGAAAATACAGTATGTATGTACAGGAAATGTACATGGTTTATAAGCTGAATGTACATTGAACCTACACTATATGTTATTTACAGCTGGTGTACCGTAATGTTTGAAGGATTGCCATATTCTACTGTCTGACTTTTCATTATATGATTGAGAAAACTGAGGCTGAGTTTTTGCAATTTCCTCAGTCTAAGAAATGTGTCTAATTATTCCCAAGAAGAAAATTGTAAGAATTATTTGTGCAGTAAAAAAAGAATCTGAAATTATTATAATCCTGTGAAAATAAAAGGTAGGAGCTCTGGTAGAAATCAACAAAAACTAGTATGAATTTCCCAAACATTGTTTCTTAGACTAAGACATTGCGATGATACATGAAGAATGGGATTGTTATTTGTCTAGTTATTTGCATGAGAACTCTAATTTTCCATATGAGCAATTCCATTAGCTATCCTAGAGAGGCTGTGAGGTTTTTTTTCTTGTGCAAGGTGCAAAGGGAGCAATTCATGCTGGGCTTTTGTTCTTGGAAAATTAATATTAGGCTTGACATTGTTGATAGATTGTTTGTTTTCAGGAAATTTTCTCTATTCCGTGATGCATGTTAAAAGTTAGTTTCAAGACACTTAGCCAATACCCTTTTTTGCACGTTTGTAAGAAACAGATAGTGGAAGAAGTATCACAGTGACAGTAACCATTTTGATAGTCATCACTGAGAAGAGAGCATTAAAAATACAGCCTCATTTAATTTATTGTCACAGCAATTTAGCAATCCCTGTCCCTTGTGAAGTCATAATTATTCTACTGCAGCAGCCATCCTTTCCCTCTCCCCCTGCCTCTCCTAGAAATACTGGGAAAGGCAATACAGTAATGCCATCTACTACTCAAAATGTATGCTGAAGTTGAAAGAATATATCTCTCTGTGTTTGTCACAGCAACCTCTGTCAGGCAGACACAGAGGGCATACGTTAAAGCTGTCCCCTTTGCATAGCACCTGAAGGGGGACAGAGACTGTACTGACATGCAGGAAAGTGTGTTTCTGTGCAAATCCAGCTTTAGTCTCTTTTATCCTGTGTTGAAACAAGTTCATGGATTAAAGTACATGTGATTAAAATCCATTTATAAAAGCTGGATTTGGCTAGAATGATATAACAAAGTAATGTCCCAATAAGAATCACTGTGGTACATTTTTGCTCCCACATTTTAAGTTCTTTGTCATGACAATTATTAGCCTCTGTTGGAAGTGAACTGTTGAACTCAAAATACAAATATTTTTGTAAGTTATTCTACGTAAATCTAAGAAAATAGTAATAGTATTGTAGCAATGCGAGATAATGCCAGATCTGCAGGACCTTGTCACTGAGTCCTTAAACCTGAGTCCTTGTCTTTTCCCAGCTAGACCTCTTATCAGTTAATTCAGATAACATGGTCCCTGAGTTAGTCCTCTCACACTTAGGAGAATATCATTAAATTAGCACTGATTTACATGGCTAGCCTTATGATGTAGTCACTGTGAAGTAGAGATGCCTTTGTTGGGGTCAGTGTTTGACAGAGATAACTTCCAAAGAATTGGTGAGTCCAGATATGACACAATCCTTTTCTGATCCTTTGTTTCCTCAAGTGAACAACTGCTCTTATGGGTGTCTGGTCACTGTGCTCTGAAAATGAGTCACTTAGGTCATACTGAGACACAATGGGTCAAAAGAAACCATTACAAGAACTTGGTGCAGCTACTGGTGCTCTGACAGGCTGAGCAAGTGAGGCATAAAATTTGGCCAAAACACCAGAAAAAAAAACTTCATATCTTATGGGAAAAAAAATTTCCACCAAATTTTTTTCTTTGTAAGCATTTGGATTCTTTCAGTGTTTCTCCTTCAGCTAAGCAAAGAACTCATTGGCATTCTCACCATTTATGGTTTGATCCATGTATGTTTTGGTCAGCAGAGTTAAGGTCTAACAAAAATGTGCTGTGGTTAACGAAACATGAGTTACTTGAATATGTAAAAGAGAAAGTGTTGCACATATGCAAAGGCACTTTGGTGATTTTTCTTTTCAATGTGTGTTAGAAATTAATTTCAGTAGAAGTGTATCACAGTTGCTGGTAGCTATCTGATTTATGCACATGTTGCCTTGCCAATGCAGCATCAAGCTGAAAAGAGAGTGTTTCTTTGGTCAGTATTTCATTTTCATGAAGGCTAACATTAGCATTAGCCCATTAGTAGGATTATAAAACTTGAAACACACATGGTAATAAATCTCCTCCAATTACCAAGTTGTAAAAAGCAGTTTACTGCTAATTTCAGTGCAGTGGTTCACTCACTGATTTGAGAATCCATCCTTCTTTGTAAATAGAGCAGAGATTGCCTAAGGCTGGGTCCACCTGCAGAGGGAGAGGTTGTCCAAGTGAAATGGCCTGATGGAAAACTGTACGGTGCGAAGTATCTGGGAACAAACGTAGTTTATATGTATCAGGTGAGTATGTATTTTTATTGCCATACACTTGCTTTTCAGATGTCTTTATTGTAAATTGCTCGTTTGGCTCTAGCACTGGAGCGGCCAGTCACACCTTCAAAGACGCAGAAGGCTGAAGTTTGGATTCTTATTGTAACTTTTTATGAATTTAAATTAGTATAAAAAACTGTCTAGCGCCGTAGGTAATGCTGTGCACTCTTTGGGAGTTGAGGTTTCACTTGTTCTTACAAAATCAAGAAAATTACTTGTTTAATAAGAAATTGGGTGAACACATGGAACTTTAAGATTGAAACATAACATTTGTTATTTTCTGCAGGTTATTTACTTTTATGTCAGGTAACTATATGATTAATGATATAAAATTAAATATTGGTATGTGCCTACAATGAACCATTTCAGAAGAGGACAGAAGGAAGGACAGTAAAAAGAAGAGCAGACTTCTTTGTCTGAGACACTTATGAACTAATTAATCTAAGGAGCATTATATCCTCAGCAAAGGCAAAAGGGAACTGAACACTGAAGGCAAGACTAAAAAGCTGACTTCTGATTTCAGAGTCACGATAATTGTTTTTTTATGTGCTTGCCTTTGAGAAAAATCAGTCAGCAGCTTTGGGTTATCCAAGTGAATGATAGAAACTGCAATAAAACAATCACAATAATAATAGCACTTCTGAAAGAATGAGAATCTAGATACATTTCATTTATATATATATGTAATAATTTTCACTTATGTAACTCTTTTCATCAAAGGGCTTCACATTACTGTACCAAAATGGCAAATTTACTATTACATCTGTAGATAAATTAAAGCACAGGGAAGCTAAATGACTTGCTGCATTGACCTTCTCACTTTCCCAGTGACTTGCAATTGAACTTGAGTCCTCAAATGCCTAATCCCTTGAGCTAGTATCTGAATCTTAGCTCTTCCCTTGTATTTAGCAGCTGTATTATGTTGTGAAGGTAGAAAGTTCTTTATAAAATATGAATATTATGGTTCTATAACAACATTAATCTTCAAGTCATTTAATCTTATGAACAATTAGTCCTCTGAAGAATACTGTGAGGTAGATTAGATGAATGTTATCTTCCATATTTGAAGGAATATGACATAATCAAACAGTTTCTCTGTCTTATTTTAGACCTCTTGAACAACATAATGAAATCAGTTTTGTTTAAAGAAAATGGATAAGCATGTGGAGGTTCAGCAAGATTTAGAGTTCCTCAGTATAACAGACATGCGAGATTACTGTAAATTGCCTTGTAACAACCCCTATCATGGGGGTTGTTGACAAAGTTTAAAGTTTAAACTTTGTCATGGGGAAATGACAAAGTTTAAAGGTTAGAGGCAGTCCAGGTTGCAACACATAGGACTGTGGAGACAATCAAACTTTTCAGTCTGCAGGATGGAGAGGAGACTGCCACATGGCCACAGGTTACAGAAACTCTATGACATGGAGGGTGCAAGGTTAACCAAGACGTGTTAGTTGTTCTTCCTTTGGTCTTTCTACAGTCTGTCTGAGAGCTCCCAGAACCTATGCATACTCCAGTTTTCTTCTGGTGTGATCTCTGTTGCAGACTCTTACTGAGCCTTTTGTGTGATCTCTTAGATCTAATAAGGCAAACCTGGATAAATCTGTGAATTTTCCTGATGTTTGTGAAATATTTTTACCAAATGTGCCAGTACTTAAACATGCAGGAGTTATGACACAGTGCACCACAATTTGTGTCATCAAATTTGACATTTGCCAGCCGGAATCTACACAGTCCCTAAGCAGGTGTTCAGTTGAAGTTGTTAATGTGTTCTAAATTGATTTTGTGATAATTTCTGATATTGAGGTTCACAATTAGGTTTGAGTTTCATTTGAGATTATTAAATTATCCATTCACTCCATTAATTGCTTTCTAACAGTTTCAAATCTGCCTTTAATTTATGATGTTCTAATAAAATGAAATCTCAGAGAGAGAATAACATACTACAGAGGCACAGTACAGCAGCAGAAATCCAAATAAAATAACTTGCATGATAAAATTGATGGTTTGAAATGAAGGATCTGCAACTGAATTAAATTGGAGCTATTAGAGATGGTGGGTTTATAGTTTGCATGAATCATTATGCTATTGAAAGTCTTAGAGAAGCTCTTGTTGTGTTTGCTGTCAAGGGTAGGCAAGTTATATCCAGTGTAATATGCTGAATTAAAGCTGAAGAACTTCCAGTTACTCTTCATTATAAATGTCCAATATATTTCATACTGCAAACATGACAGATTCTCTGGTATGAAACAGTTTCATCCTACTGCATGCTACGAGTGAAAACAAATAGTTTGACCATCCGGCAGTGGCTTTTATGATCGCATGGAGTGGCAGAGTTCATTTCCTACCCAGTTCTTCCACCAGTGATGCAAAAATCATTATCACCAACTGTATTATGCGAAAACATACTACCACATGTATTGTGCAGGAAAGGAGCAGGAATAGCAGAAAGACTTCCTGCATCCTGGTGAAAAATACCTGAACTGCCATCATTTTATTAAACAAGCTTAAGGCAAATTGACCTTTAAGTTTCTATAACATACTGCTGACAGACTAGGGCTGTGAGGTTAGTAACAGGAACAGAGAGGAGCAAGGATGACTTCTGTGACTTTGTTATCCATCGTTGTACTCTGTGCATTTTAAATGCATACCAGATTTGTGCATCCCTGTTGGTTGCAGTAAAAGAAATTGCTTTTAAAGAAGCTAATAGATCATAGTGTGTATCCTGGCTTTTGAGAATGGATATATTATATCTGATTTTTCAGCTGTTCATTATTAATCTGACATATCCAGTCATATGGCAAGCTTTTAATTTTAAACTGCAACCCCAGTCCATTTACAAGATCAAATGCATGATTTTTCATTTTAATCTGTAATAATACTTTTGGTAAGTCATTGTTCTCTTATGTTTGTATTTGGACTTATTCTTCTAGTCAAATGTTCTGTTAACATTCACATGGTCTCATAAAGTCAAGGAAAGGTAGGGAATGGGACTTCTAATTTTATATCAAACTTTAAAGTGCCGTTTCTACGGGAGCTAAAACTGCAGTCACAGATAATAGCTGAAATTCACAATTGTTAGATTAAGTATTAAAATAGAAAAAAAATCAGCAGCTACTGAAAAAGCTTAAATGCTTCAAAGCCTCAGCATTTTAACATTCCCCACACCTAGTTACATTTCCTTTCTCATTTTCTGCTAACGGGGTTCATATTGGATTAAATCTAAACCTAAGCATGATAAAGTTTTTCATCTTCTCAACAGAGCATTTAGAAGAAATTCCATCAGATTGAATAAAATTCTGTTAACTGGTATTTCCTGAGTTGTCACTCACACTTTCTTTTGACATGGTCTTCCTCAACCTTGAATCACAGGATGTTAAAATTAATTTTTTATTTATTAGAAGCAAGTAAAGAATTAGAGGCAAATAAAAATAACATGAAGACATTTTAATATGTCATTCCTGCCTGTCTTGTTAGTGTTCAGCATTCCTAATCTAACAAATTTTACTTTATTGTATTTGTGTCAGTGCTGATTTTGAAGACTCTTTGCTTAGATATTATTTTGAATGTATTTTTAAGAATGTATTGCATTTCCTAAGAAATTATGTTTTTTAGGTTTTAACCTAATTTTACTATCCTAAAATAGATAGTAAAATATTTTTGTATAGGTCTTCTCTGTTTACATATGTGTTTTTATCTGGAGACATTTCCAGAAACTTCCTACAAGATTTAAATTATGATTTTATTTTTAAATACCCATTTTTTCAATTAGGTTGAGTTTGAAGATGGTTCTCAAATAGTAATGAAGAGAGAAGAAATATATACACTAGATGAAGAGCTTCCTAAGAGAGTAAAAGCGCGTTTTGTGAGTATTTGCTGATAGTAACTTTATAGTATATATATGCTTAAAATGCCAATAACACTATCCTTGGATTTATTTTGGATTTTCAGTTTAAGCTGGACAAGTGTTTTGTGAAGCCTATATTAATAAGAGTGGCTAAATCAGCACAATTAGGAGATGTGCCCATTTGCTAGTGAGAATGGTTAGTTGTTCTTCCAGTGCAGGCAAATATGGTTGTCAAACATAATTCTTTTATCCTAAAAGGGACATCATGTTTGATCATCTGTCAGACCATGAATGATGAAGTTAGTAAACATTTGAACTGACAGACATTCTGTTCTTTCAGTAGCCTTATAGCATCTATAATTTTTAAAAAACTTTCCAGCTTCTCAGACCTTTGCGATTTTAAAAGCCTTGAATTTAATAAAAATGCAATTAACTTCATGTAAGAAACAATGTGACTGATCAGAACTCATTATTGTCACTGGCAGGACTCATCAACATTTTACTAGTCTTTGGTTTAAAACAAAATCTTTGCTGCTTTTTAAAGTCTCCTGCAGTTTCAAACCACATACACCACCTAACCATTTTTATGTATGTATGTCCTGTAGAAAAGTGTTGAGGTTCATGAAGATCATGACACTTACAGGTTGAAAAAGGAAAATTCTTCCATACACTTATCAGAGGAGGTGACTGCTTTTACCTTAGGGCAGTTCTCTCTAATGCAAAATGCAGTGGTCAGATATTCTTGATTAAGAAACCTTTTTGTTGATGAATTTGGGATAAATGCAGAAATCTTTCAGTGTTCTGACTGTCTAGGGTTAAGATAGATGTCTTGAAAAATGTTAGATGAACCATCTGGTTTTATTTAATGGGGTTTTTCATTATACTCGGAAAGTATGCCATTGCCTTTTTTTTTGTTTTAGAGACTACATGGAAGAAGCAACTCTAATTAACTGCATGCTCTATAGAATACAAACTGTTGCATTTCGTGCAGAATAATAATAATTGGGTTTAAGCTATTGGTTTTTAAATGTATTTTTTACAACTCAATATTTATTTTTTAATTTATTTATTTGACGCCAGTAATTTCATTGGGGAGTTAGCTATAGGTTGAAAACATTAAATTTGGTCATCTGAATAAAACACACCACAGCCAGTGCATGATTTTCTTTGCATGATTTTCTGCTAGTGCATTTTTTGGTTTTCTGCTAGTGATTTTCTGCTACTTTGCACGATTTTCTACTAGTGCCCCCAGTTCTAGAAATATGTAGGTTAGTCTTCCAGGTATTCCCAACACCTCCTTCCCCTCCTCATGCTGAACATAGTGGAAGTTAAAGACAACTTATGGCACTGCCTATTGAAAGAAATTATGCCAGTTCCTTCTAAATGATGCTTTTCCTAATCTTTGGAATTTTTCCGTTACTCCAGCAGTGAAAGTTGTCCAAAATATTCTACCTTTGGTTCTTCCCAAATGGCTTGCTGTTTGGTGTCCCACTGCTGTGTTAAAGTGGATTCCCAACTGTTTTAAGTTTGCTGGCAAATGACTGTGGTTCTTTGCAAATTAGGCAGTGTGCAGGTCTCTTTTCAGGGGCCCATGCTGTAGTACCTTGCATTTAAAACACTTCTGAATCACACAAAGTGGTGAATAATGCTTGATACCACTAGGATCAAACCTGCCTGACAGTTGCTTCACTTCCATGTTGCTGGGCTTTTTTTTCTCCCAGAATTAGAGGGATTGTGTGGTTTCTGGATAAAAGCCGAAACTACCAAGTGGTGTTAGTGACGTTTTTCTAAGGAACACTGTAGACCCAGGGAATTAAATAATGAATGGTACATGCAAAATACAGAAATATGTATACATATTTATACATATGTGTAATTAATGTCTGGTTTTAGTCTACAGCCTCTGTCATGAGATTTGAAGACACATTTAATGGATCAGATATTATCTTGGGAGAGAAGAAGAGGCAGAGAGTATTGAGTTCTCGCTTTAAGAATGAATATGTGGATGATCCGGGATACCGCACATTCTTGAAAAGCTCATTCCAGAAGAAATGCCAGAAGGGGCTATAAAGGCAGCAGATGAAGAGAGAGGAGGTTGATTAAAAAGCATGCAGCATTATTTGGAATTGTTTTTTGTTTAATTGAACACTCTGTTTTACAACGAACCAGTCTATACCCCATCCTCATAAACTGAAGTATTTGGGTTCTGATTTCTTTGGTTAATGTATTAAAGATTTTGTAATGTTTTGCGTTATAGAACTAGAGGGGAAACCCAAGAGAGATTATGAAGGGATGTACTAAAGAAACGTTTCAGTCCTGCTGTCCTAGGTTTTTTGCGGGGGGATAATGCCTAGAGCAGTGTGGGCGTGGCTAAATTGCTGTTCTATACCACTCACTTCATCTCTGGGAGGCGTGGCTTCAGAGGGAAGAACAAAAGGCACACACACAGGAAGCATGCTGTTTTCATTACATTTCTTTCCTGGGGAAGCTGCTGGGCCAGCACTGTGGACTCTGAAAAGCAGTGAACATAGCCACGATGTGGCTGTGCTTGCAGCCAAGATGCAATTCCGGAGTGGTGGCACCACGCAGAATTGAACCTGCAGAGCACTCTGGAAGCGGCCAGTGGGGTGCAGCACAGACGATCTGGCTTTTGTCATAGTGTTTTTGTTTTCTTGGGCTCAGGGATGGGGAATGCTGGCTGTGGAGAGTATCCACCACCTTGTCTTTCTCCCAGGGGGCCATGTGGTGCTACCTGTGGAGAGCATGCACCACCTTGCCTTTGTCTTGGTGGCCTCATGGAACTAATTCAAGGTAGTGAACACCTCTTGTGTGTAAAGCACCTTTTCTATACTTTTGTCATTAATATTTTTGCTGTTACTGTGTGTTTCTTATTCTACTGCTGTTTGTTTTCAGTAAATTGTTACCTCAACCTGTGGTCTCTGCCTTTGTCCCTCTCTCACCAGAGGGGGGCGGGGGCAAGAGGAGCAGCTTATTTGAAGTTTAATTACCAGCTTGCTTTTTAAACCACCACACCTGCTCACATTGAAATAAATCATAAAATTCCCTTTGAAGATTCACATTCTGAAAAGGAGACATTTTAGTAAACAGAGATAATGTCAGTGGCTCATTTTTTTCTGCACCTAAGTTCAATAATAACAGTTTTTATAAAACATTTTTAAAACAAATACAGATATATACAGTACTGAGGCAAACAAAGGCTGTGCTTACTTTGTACAGTGCTTTTACATATTTATATCACTACTGTTTTCAGTAGGGTTTGATGGGGACTCAACTATTGACTTAAATATTTTTGGCTTTTAAGAAAGATATCTGTAGCACAGCAAGGATGTTTTGTATATTTTAAGAGAGATTTTGGCAGTTTTTTCTAAACATGTTTTTCATAGGGTCTATAAAAAATATCTAGTTGTTAAATACAAATTTCTTTCACTATGTGTATGAAAAATTAGAGTTCAAATATAACAACCTAGTTTTGAATGAATATATTATGGTCTGTCTTTTAAAATAAAGTTCTAGCAATGTAATCATGTTTTAAAATAAATAAATGAATAGATAAATAAATACTGTGCTTTTACTTGCAACATTTTGTCTGTTGATGTAATTTTTAATCATATTATTTTATACCTATAGGAATCAAGAAACTTTGTTATATGCTGTAGTTTTCTGAACAGAACAGATTATACACACAGACGCTCACAAAGCTTGATGTTAAAATGCAAACTTGATAAATACTGTACTTTCTATTTCCCTTCAGTCTTTGGGATCCTGATGTTTTTGGATGTTTCATGGAAAGCAGAAAGTCTGAATTTGTCTAAACACTTGGGTATGTGAACCTAGAGGAGAGCTTTATCAAAATGACATCATCTGTTCCTTGTAAATTGAACAGTCAGCAGGATTTCTGACTGCCTGCCACAGGAAAAAGAGCCCTCTCAAAATCCAATTTAAATTGAGCACTGCTGCTTCTAGGGTTCTACTTGCAAAAAAACTTGACTATATGGACCCAAAGATTTTGTCATTACAAACCCAATCTTTTACATGCTGAGACACACATATCTTTGTCTCACTGAAGGCCTTCCATGACTATTCTTTTTTTTTTCGTGTGGACAATGAAATCTTTTCAATTACTGTGTGACACCTCAATTGATAACATAAGTTTTCTTGAATGCTATATTGACCATCTTTTCTTGTACCATAAAATCACTCAGAATCCCTTAGAAATAAGAAATTGCTTAGCTGTGACAATTGGAATGTATATCTAATTGACAGATCTTTCTCTAAAGGCAATGGGTTGTGGTGGGTGCTGTCAGACTTATTTCAGAACATCAAGGCTCTTTCTGGTGGTGTAAAGAAAAATTAATGATAGATTTACAAAATGCAAGATTGGTGCTGCCTTCTGCAATAAAACGTGCAGCTGATAACCTAATGTACTGGGTTTGTGTGGACAGGGTTTGATAGCAGGAGGCTATGGGGTCGCTTCTGTGAGAAGCTGCCAGAAGCTTCCCCTCTGTCCGACAGACCCGATGCCAGCTGGCTCCAGCGTGGACCCACTACTGGCCAAGGCTGAACCCACCAGTGACATGGTAGCACCTCTGGGATAACATATTTAAGAAGGAAAAGAAAGTTTTGGGGCAGATGTAGTTGCACTCAGAGAAGAGCAAAGTGAGAATATGTGAGAGGAACAGCTATGCAAACACCAAGGCTAGTGCAGAAGGAGGGTCAGGAGGTGCTCCAGGTGCTGGAGCTGAGATTCCCCTGCAGCCCATGGTGAAGACCGTGGTGAGGCAGCTGTGCCCCTGCAGCCCATGGAGGTCAGTGGGAGAGCAGACATCCACCTGCAGTCTATGAAGGAGACCCACCCAGAGCAGGTTGATGTCCCAGAGAGGACTGTGAGCCCATGGAAAGCCTGTACTGAGGAGGCTCCTGGCAGGGACATGCAGACCCATGGAGAGAGGAGCCCACACTAGAGCAGGTTTCATGTGGGGTTGGTCCCATGTTGGAACAGGCTGTGCCTGAAAGGCTGCATCCCATGGAAAAGTGACCCACACTGGAGCAGTTCATGGAGAGCTGTTTCTTGTGGGATGGATGCCATGGTGGAGCAGAGGAAGGACTCTTCCCCCTGAGCAGTGGCAGGAATGAGTGATGAACTGACAGTAACCCCCATTCCCAATCTCTCTTCATTGCTATGAGGTAGGAGATAGAGTCCAGGAGGGAGAAAGGGATATGGGGAAGGTGTTTTTTTTAAGATTTTATTTTACTTCTCATTATCCTACTCTGATTTTGTTAGTAATAAATTCAATTAATATCCCAAGTTGAGTGTGTTTTGCCTGTGACAGTATTCAGTGAGTGATTTCTCCTTGTCCTTATCTCAACTCATGAACTTTTCCTTATATTCTCTCTCCCCTGTCCACTTGTGGAGGGAAGTGGTAGAGCAGGTTTGGTGGGTGCCTGGCATCCAGCTAGAATGAATCCATTGCAGCTGATTACTGATGCTTAGTTTCAAAATACTGTGTTCTATGGTGAGCATGCTTTTACAGTCTTCCTTGAAAGTTCAAAACAACTGTGACATATAAGAATACTTTGTATTTGAATAGGTGATGCTATGCGGTACTGTAGAGGCAAATGTGTGTTCTTTGCCTGGATCTGATATGACCTGTTATGACACCATGAACAAACTCCCTTATTTCTATAAAATGGATCCTGTATCCTCCTCTTCAAGATCCTTGAAATTTGCTGATTAAAGGGCTGCAATTTTATTTTAAAACATTCATGCAAAAAGTTGGCTTATTTCCCCTTCTACCTTTCAGAAAAAAGATCTTGATTTTGGAAGTTCTAAAGGGCACTGAAATTACTTCTGACCTTTGTAAGATGCTATACCTATTATGTAAAAAGTGTAGTCATTGTCATGATTACAGTTCCATGCCTCCCATCTCAAGATCTCATGGCCCTTGCAAACTGGACTACAAAGACATTTCCTGTTCCCTTACAATTCCTGAAAAGCCACATTTTTCTGTTCCATGACAGGTATTGTTGTGAACCTTTCAGGTGTGTGAGAGAATACGTTGGTGTCCAATGTTCTGGGAAACCAGGAGTTTGCCATGAACCGGATTAGGTAGGTCGGCACCAAAAACAGTTGTTTGTTGCCCATGTAATCAGTTCTCAGTCGCCAGTTTCTCACTCCAGTAAAACCTCTGCGTAGTATTTTTCTCCTGATGTTAGAGACAGGTACATCTTTTCCAATGAAAAAGTATGTCAGCATTCGTGACCGTTTCACTTACAGTGTCTGTGTGAGGAAGAGTGAATCATGTAGGAAGAGTGAAGCCCCTTTAAAGACTGGCTAAGTGAATCAGCAGTGGTATTCCTAGGATTAAAAAAACAAACAAACAAAAAAGCAACAACAACAAACCACCACCAACAACAAAAACCCAACCCAAATAAAAATTCAATGTCCCTAGCAAGAGAGCACAGAATGCCACAGGACAGGAAGAACCATGGTCTTTCTATTACCTTATAAATATGAGCGAAGTAACTGTTCTGTATATTCAAAAATCCTGAAGGCTGTGGGTGAACACACTTGTGTGCACACACAAAGTAATGGTTTGTTCAGGATACATTAAAATTATTTTTATTCACTCTCATCTTCAAAATAGCAAGGAAGAATCTGAAGTACTTCAGTTTATGCTGGCTTGTGAAGTAGAATGCTTTAATGGTGTGACTTGGATTTCCCCAGCTATAAATGAGGTCTGATAAAATCAAACTACTAGAATTAGATAAAAATTAGATTACTTCTCTTGAATCCTATTTGCTATTGTATTACTGTAGCAAAGCAATTTTGTTGGTGCTTAATAGGAGTTCTACAATATATTGTGTTGTGCTGTGGTGGGTAAAAATTTTCAATTAAAGAGAGTAATAGAAAAATTCCTACAAAATATTTTTGCTTTGAAGCTTGTTTATACTTTCCAACTGTGATATAAGTTAACAGCAATTTTTTGTAATAGAGAATTTAATGATATCCTGGTATTTATAAGCAAAATATAGCAAGGTAAAAGCAGTCCCTATTTATGTGGTTCTACTTTTTCTGGTTTTGTGAAATGTCTCCAATTTAGAGGACATTATAGGAAAAAAATGACATAAGGTAAATCCTGTTTGAATTATCATCTGTCTAAATAACAAATACTTGCACTTCCTACCTGTGCTGCTCAATTTAGCCATCTTTGTTTAGTGGCACAATCACAAATGTTGACTTTGATAATAGATGAAGGCAAAATGATAATTTCACTTACTGGAATGAAATGCTGCTTTCTCTCCAGTCTCTAAATTTTGTAGTGGTATTCTATTTCTTGTTATCTAAATGAAGTATGGGATGCCAGTGTTCAACAGCATATTAGCAGGAGGGAAACCTTTTTTAGGGTGGGCAAGAGGAATCCTTCCTGCATATATGCACAAAATGCGTATCCATCGCTTTTAAAAATTGTAGAACCACCTGATAAATTTATCAGACACCTTCACATTTCAAAAATCATCTCTGAGGCTTCTAGTTTTGAATTCCAAATGCCTTAGATAGCATTTTTCTCTGACATATATAGCAAAAAGAAAATTATGATGTTATGGTAGGGCATAAAATTTTACTGGAGTTCATCTTAGCTGTTGTATATAGCCTATGGGTTATAGCTTCGCTGTTACTATCAGACAGAATTGTCCTACAGTCATGGTGCTGAGTTGTTACTCTCAATACCTTAATGGATTTCCCCTATACCTGGATTTGTAGGCAGAGCTGGTAGCTGCCAAAACTTTTATAAGAGCCAGTTTTGAGTTACTAGAAAGGTTGGCAATTTAGATATCCTACAACTAAAATTTTTATGTGTTGGTTTGTGTCTGAAAAAGTCTGGAAACTCTGTTTCAAGCAGTTTGGTCTTTTGGAAGGATTTGGAAGAGGAGGATTAAGGAAAAAAAAAAAGTCATCCTTCTTTCTATCCTGAAGTTTCCCAGGCATTTATTTGACAACCTTTGTCATTCCTTTATACAGTGAAACAGGAACATTCTGGCAGATGCAGGAAGGAGTGATTCCCATTAGATTTTAGAAATAGGTTTCTGAAGTGTTTCTGTAGATGTGCTATCATTTGACTGAGCTATCATAAACTGTATGGTCTGTGGATGGGGCTCAGAAATGAAGTTTTGGAAGAACCTGTACCACTTCTGCAGTGATGGAATGGACTGTGCCCGCATTTCCAACATAGTCATCTCAGCACTGACCTTGCCAGGCTTGCAGTCTGGGAGAGCCTTTTGTCCTTTTCTTGTTCGCTCTAGTTACTTAAATGGAACATAGAGGCAGCATCTCCTTTGTTTTCAATGGCCTGCTAATGCTGCTACTGTAGCACAGAAAAACAGACGGAAAACCCCCCACAAACAACAAAAAGAAAGAAAAAGAAGCCCAAACTACTTCAGTAGAGAAGTGTAAAGACTTGGTGGCAGATAGGGAGAATTCATGGAGCTGGAAGGAGAAGAAATAGGGGGACCAGATT